ATTAATCAGAGGAATAATAGAGATTTGTAATCCACTATATTTCTTTTGATCCGTTGGAAAATCATTTGTACGAATTTCTCGTGTTTATTAATTCAAGAATACGAAATTTGCGTTACAGTACCAACCATGTCCTGCTGTTGAATCTTGAAAATTATTTGGCAAGCTATAGAGTAACAAAGAACCATAAATTCCATGTCTCTTCAGGATTGTTTGGTAATTTTGTTTTTTGATTTTTTTTTTTAATTTGTTTTTTTTTTCAGTATTTTGTAGGCATAAAAATATTTGATTTAGTGAGACCATTGAAGACTCTTTTATATTCTTACTCGTGGAACTAGGTATAGAGCATTGTTCGGGTAACGGTTTTTTTATAGAGTCATCTAGTTGTTTTTCTTATGGAGCAATCCGCCTACTTGGTGGCTTATGTGGCACCATGTGTATTAAAATAACTTACATGTGTCATCTATTTTTATTTTTATTTTATTTTAAATAGATAAGTAAAATAAAATAAAAAATAAATAAATAAGAGAGAAAGGGCTCAAACATACGCTGTAAGCTTGTAACCATATTCTCAAACTCCCTAAATTGCACTGGCGAAATCTGCTCGGCGTTGCAATCGCTCGCCTCCCTTGCAGCCATGAGCTCCGCGACGATGGCCACGACCTGGCCTACCACAGTCCCAAAATCCCTACTTTTGACTGATAAGGGGTAGAAATTTAGTGCAAGAGGAGTCGCACATGCTCGCCTTCCTAGCGGCCATCTGCGGCGGACGTGACCTCGGCCACTCCAAGTTTCCGAACACTGCTTGGTTGAGTCTCCGACCACTGCCTGACCGAGTCTTCGATAACGACCTCGCGCTATGGCATCTGCTGGGAGGCGCGCGGTGCCGGGAGAGACCGCGTGCCGAGCTGACCGACGACGTGCCCAAAATTCCAAGTTTCGACTGGTAAGGGGAAAAAATCTGATGCAAGAGGCGTTGTGCTCGCTTGCCTTCCTAGCGGCCATCTGCGGCAGGACGGGACCTACACCCCTCCGAGTCTTAGACAACGACCTGGCCGAGTCTGCGACGACGGCCTCGCGCGGAGGATCATCGGCAGGTCTGCTGGTTGTCTCTGACGTCGTACTGCTGGTTGTTCCCGGCTTCGTGCTGTTGGTCGTGTCCGACATTGTTTTCATGTTTCGGCACAAGAAGCGGAAGGTGAAAGCCAACGGGGTGCATTTGCGTTTGCTATATCGAGTCCAATTGGAGTGCTATTGGCATTATAGTAGAAAAACGATTCAAGGCCCAGTTGCCGACTGAGACGAACTGGTGTCAATGGGCGTGGCTTGTGGGGTGGTTATCTATGTTTTCATTAAACAATTTGTTGCCCAAGGGGTATAATACTTAGAAGGAAGTCTCATTTGACACTCCAGGGTATAGGTTTATGGCTGTCTTGTTGGGGGTTGGGGTAATTTGGGGTAATTGTTGTTATGATTTGGGTGTATGTTTAACACTTTCGTGAATATATGAGCAAATGTATTCATAATCAATGATTGGTATATAGCTTTGTGATTGGTATATAGCTTTGTTGTGAGATAAATGAAGACGTTGGAGTTTCATTTTCTTTTTTTTTTTGGAATATAAAATAAACGGTTGTTGTTGAATGGAAAAAAGTTGAGAGTCATGATGCTCATAGTTGTTTGAACATGACCATGTCCACGAGAGATAAAAGATATTGAGGGTGTTATGGTTGTTGTCCTTTTGTCAATGCTAAATTAGCTCCAAGATTCAGAAACCAAGATTCAAAAAGATAACAACCAATCTCAGGCCTCAATGTCCATCTTCTGTATCTGTTGATTTATCAACCAAATTAAGCAAAAGCAAAAAGAAATGACAAAATGTAAAGATTTAATAATTTTTGTGGATCAACTAGTACAGAGCCCATGCGATGCACGGGTGGACAATTTTAAGACTATTTACTCATCCTTATTATTATATTCGTGAATAAAAAAATTAAAAATTAGAATAGAAAATAAAAGTTTGATATTACAATTATTGAAAGTCTTACTCTAGACAACATTTTTTTTTCCTTGTAGGCACGCCATCCTCCGTGCAAATAAATATTTTTAATCTATTTATATTATTGACACGAAAAACAGATACATACAACTGGTTAGAATATAGGGTTTTAACTGTTTGAGAAAGCAACTGGATCCCAATTGATAGGTTTTAACTGTTTGAGAAAACTCAAGTTAGAATATATGGTTTACTTTTTTCATTTTATAATTCGCGTGAATGAAAAAATTTTAATGGTCTTAAAGAATCTTTCTATTTGTTCGATCATATACAATTTATATTTCTTTTGATACGATTCTCTTTATAATCTCTATCTCATGTTAAAATAGTTAATATATTCTATTATTGAAAGATCCTCAGGTAATAGGTGTTTAGATATACAGTAAATAACTGCAAGGAGGATGGTGTTTTTGTGAGCACACCATACTCATGTTATAATAGTTAATAGGTATTTTTAATATATATAAATAGATAAAATATTTTATAATTGTTTGGTATAATCTAACTTTTGAATCTTTAGGTTGTAATTGTGATTAAAAATTGTAGGTTGCTCTACAATTGTGAAGGAAATTCAAGATAATGACAGATTTTATATTATTTTCTTTATTTAACTCGATTATGTACATATTAAATTTATTAAGTTACTTTTATTAGTTATAGCATCAATATTGGTTTAAATTTGTACTGGATATGAACAGTAATTATGTACAATAATTATTTATTTGGATATGCATAGTAATAAAGTACCAAATATGTATATTAATGAAAAATGTATAGTAAATTTCGCTTATTGCCGTACAATCAAATATAAAGATTCTAAGAAAATCTTGGATATCTATGAAGCCACGATTGTTGATCAATTTCATTCTTTTTTTTTTTAATTTTTTTTTTAGTTTTTGATTCAAATTTTCTTGCTTATTGCCGCACAACCAAATCAAAAGATTATACGAAAATCTTGGACAGCTATGATGCCAAAGCCACAATTGTTGACCACTTTTATATTTTATTTTGACTTTTTATTCAATTCAATAATTCCGCTCATTTTCAATTTTATTTTTTTTGAAAAAAATAATAATAAAAGTAAAAACAAATTTTTTTGGCGGAATTTTTGCTACTATTTTAAGTAAATACCAAATCTTTATATATATAAATATATATATATATATATATATATATATGAAGGATATAGTTAGTCAATAAATATATATTTTTGGTAATCTATTATTAAATTATAAAAAATTCTATATAGTTAGCATTTTTGTTTTAAAAGTTTTAAACTTTTCAAAATAAATAATTAATTAATTTACAAAAGTTTTTTAGAATTATAATAAAACAAACTTTTTACATCAAGTTGTAATTTACATTTACATTAGTATAAATTGATGTATGTCAAAAGGATGGGCATGGTTTTATTTTCAACTTTATATTTAAATAGTATTTGACATATAGTTATACAAAATATTAGCTATTAATAACAATAATTTAATGAATAATATATAAAATATTTTAATTTAAATAATTGGACTGAATAATACTTTCAAAACAGGTTGTTGGTTTCTTTTAAAGTCGGGGCCTGACAATGTTAACCCGAATTAGGCCCATGTATTTTTGCAACCCCAAGTTGTAAAAAGGTAGCCCAACCCATTTTAAATAATATAGGTATTCATCGGTCTACATTAAGCCTTTTTTTTTTCAATTAAAATGAATTGGTTGTGATTAATTTGAAGTGGGTATAAAAAAACAAAATATGGGAATGAGATGGTGAGTAGGGTTTCCAAATTCTCACCTCTACCTCAGGCAGCTTACGAAAATGATCTTCCATTTGAAGGAAAAAAAATTCTAGTCTTTCCGATTTTGAATAAAAAAGGTAGGTCTAAGCCCCTTCCAGATCCGTTATATCGACTTTGAAATCGTATGTTCTTGAAGACGCTCACGATTTCAAAGGCGAATTTTTGAATCAATCTCAACACAAGCGCGGTGAAACCGAGCTCTTATTTACAGATCTAGCTTTGTATCTACAAAGATCAGACCAGTTTACGCGATGGTGTAGTGATATTAAAGGTAATTTCTTGTTTTGAATTTTTTACTTTTGGCATATGCGATTCAATTTTTCGATTTGATTTTAAATTCCAGTTAATTAGCTTACTGTGTTTTTAGAATAGTTCGATTATATATTACAAATTGAGTTTTTTGTTTGTTCAAAATGATATTATTTTATGCTTTTTCATTTTATGTTAACTAGTACAGAGCCCGTGCGATGCACGGGGGTTAATTATATCTGTCCCTTTTAAAAAACAAATGTCAGTTACAATTCAAAATACTTATGTAATATCCCAATATTTTATCGGTATAAATTATGTTTTAATTCCGATATTATAATGTTAACGTTTAGTATTTTCGGAATTAATTATTTTCAGTCGAGATTACCGAAATATATTTTCGACGTACCGTTTACGTTCGGAATAATTTTGGTAATTAAGTATTATGTTTAATTGAATAATTAGACATAATTTAGTGATTCATTGTTAATTAATCACAATTTAGTAATTAAGCCGTGCACTTCCTAATTATTGCCCAAAAATGCCGTACATAATGTGGGGAGAGTTAGAGGATTTTTGTGTCCAAACTTTCC